GCTGCATTTGAAATAGTATGATTGAAATTGTAACACTCTTAACTCTTCAAACTTAAAATGAAATTATACAAAAAATAAGATGCTTCATATGCAGGTACACAGACACACACATACACACAGACACCACACAGACACACACATACACACAGACACCACACAGACACACACACATATACAACATACACACAGACACATTCACACATATACATAAACAAACACATTAATTACTTCCATTTAATGTTTCTATACATTTTTACATCAGTATATCAATACTGATAATAGCATAACTAATACAGTTAATTATATCAGTATAGTTATCAACTTTAATATGGTTGGTTAAATTTCAACATGGTTAAAATTTTAATATTAATACTTTAATATTAATCTTAATATAGTTTTTTGTGATTTAACTCTCGACATACAATGCAAATTGCATTATTAATTAAAAGACACTGTTATATCTAATTATTTGAATAAATGTGACAGGAAAGGATGAATAAAAAGTATGAAATCAGTAAATTTAAAAAAAGAAAAAAGAGATTTTTTTGAAAAAAGGAAAAGAAAAACAATGTTAAATGTTGAAAGAAGTAAGTTTCCATTCATGGAAATCATTTGAATCTGTCGAAATTGATTTTGAAAGACAGAAAATCGACAAAAATGAGTGATAATTGCTATGGATAAGGAAATAAACTGAACAAAAATTAAATAATTATTAAAATTTTAAAGGAAACAAAAAAGAAAATTCCCATAATTTTAATAAAATCAAATGATTTCAGATGATAAATTCACCAAAAATTTTAATAAAAATTTGACAAAAAAAAAACAAAAAGAAAGGAAATGATTTAGTATAGGGTAAAAGAAAAAGAATAATTAATCTGAAATGGAGTAATTAATGAATGGATGAATGGATGATTGGGTATATATCGTAGGAATTTTAAGATTAACTGTTGCTCAAAAATTCATCGGAATTGATTAGCGCAGCTATCGTTGCACAATCAGAAATTCGCTGCAACTCAATCTTTCCTACCTTCCTTTGCTCTACATTTTCTGCAATCCTCTCTCTCTCTCTCTCGTCCTCTTCTCTTCTATGCTAAAAATTTTTCTTCAAAATCTTTTTGAAATTGATTATTTTTTTCAAACCAATAATTCTATGCAGAGAAAGAGAGAGAGAAAGCGAGAATGGAAAAAAAGTTATCATAATAGATCGGTGATTAAAACAAGCATAGAAATGTAATCCAAAATTTGGAATAGAATAATTGATTTGAAATGAAATAATTAATGAACGCAATGATGATTTGATATACAAACATTCATCTTTAGCTAACTTTACTTTGTTTATCAACTTATTATATTACATTTATGATAAGCAATAATTGAATTAATTTTTGCCCAGTGAATTTTGTTTTATTTTTTGCTTCATTTCTACTTTCCAGAATGATTGATTCAATGAAGTAGAAGGATGAAAGTCATACTGTTGCACTGTTACGTTTAAAATTCTGAGGTGACAAAATTTTTACGTTTATCTATGAATCACTGTAATGGGACGTTAGTTTTCGTGACGGGTACGTGAGAATTTTTACGACTGTACATGACCTGACGATTTCAAGACCTTTTCTTTTTTTTTTTTTGGGAGAATTAGTTTGATTAAAGATCACGGCTTAAGATGACATGAGGGATTGTGAATCAGTTTTTTCGTATTGTACTTATAAAGAGTATGTTAAGTGATAATGCAACCATAACTAACTCTACATAAGTGTGGATAATACACTATATCTATGCAATATTCATAAATGAATATATTGTAGAATTCTAATGGAATCATTGTCATCACATACGATTCTACTGATTCAACCCGTTGCACGTGTAGAGTCACGTACATGGTCCGATTATGAAACAACTACCGATTGTATGGAAGGTATGTAATGTGTTTTATCTAAGATATTTATTTGATATTAAATAATCAGTATTATTTGATATTACCAACATTTTATCCTATATATGTGATAAATTACAAGATTACACTCGTTTCCTTTATTGCTAATTACTTTTCTATTGTCTATTTTCAAATGAGATATATGTTTGATGAAATATATCTTTCGATATTTATAAGAGATAACTGCCGAACATGAAACTATTAGTCATGTCAAATTTCTCAAATTACATCTCACTTTTCATTAATGTATTATTCAAGGAAAAATTTTTCAGGAATATGTAAAATTTTTGAGGAACATTTGAAGAAATTAAATCCAAATTCGGCATCCATCACTTACGATGTACAGAACTTGTTTGAATTCATCGACCGTTTAGCCGATTTGTCCTGTTTAGTGTGGGAAAATACAGTGAAAGCCTATGCACCACACAACAAGGATTGGATCAAAGAACAAATTTACATCTTATTACGAAGACAAGCGGCTAAGTAAATTATTGATATCATTTTATGTAATCTAGAGGTGGATAGGATGACCTAACAACTTGTCTCCGTTTTCATTTTATTCGCTTTCAATTTTTTTTATTTGTTACTAATTGTTTTCTAATTGAAATATATATATTGTTGAGCGATCTCCCTCCAGTTAAAAAATCTTCCTCTATTCTTTGGTCCTGCTCGATCTCTTATTATCGCGCCAGCACTTTAGTCATAATTATTTGCACAATTTGTGGCTCAGAAACATAAACAAGGTATTTATTTCGATTTGTCAGCATTCGTAATCCTTTGAAATGCTGAGCTTCATTAATCTCAATTTCTGGCACTAGTGGGATCCACTGTCACATCACATGTTTAAGTTGTACAACTAATAGTTTTATACGTAATTATACAAAGCACATCTCATGGGACAAAGTATACAGATGCGAATCACAGTATAGCGAAAGGTACATCACAGTAGGAAGTAATGCGAGTATTGGAAATGAAAGAAAATTGCAAAATAATTAGTGTTCAAATTGTATCTGATCACTTTAAAATGATTTCGGTAAAGGAAAAAGGTGACACCGTAACTGAATAACGACTATGCGTAATAAAGTTTAAATGAGTTGTGAAACGTTGAGGGGAAAAAATTATAGAAGAGTACCGGAACTCCAACATCATTTCTTCAGAGCCGTCATTTCAAAAGCAACAGTAAATAGTAGCTGTCTGTGATATTACGGTTTATTAAGCCAGTAATGGGCATCTATGCAGTTGATGGGATCTGTAGGATCCAAAGGTGGCAATTGCGCACCAATGCCTTCCGTCTTGAATTGTTCTCGCATATAACGTTTTTCCAGCCGGACAGGATCAGTATTTCCTGAATTTTCATTTGAAGAATAACTGTTTGAAATCTTTTAAAATAATGTGATGACAGTAATCAAGCAAATCCATAAAATGCTGAAAATGCTACAAATAAGCAGCTTGCAAACATACCAATAGTGAACGTCTGAGGATCCATCACTTCCTTCACACTGCTATTGCATTCTTCATTGCCGGCATTACTTTTTGTACATGACCAAGTACACAGGAACTGAAAGTAATTTTTCTTTTATCTAAGAGAAATCGCCGTTCAAAGGAAACCCATAGTACAATCA